TTGGATTGATTGCTACCGGCCCATATCGGTTCAGAAGAAGCACCAAGTCTATTGTACAACATCTTTGTAGAAGCAGTTGGTGGTTGATCATCTTCTATCATATATGCATTTAATTCAGGACCAGCAATATCTACCTCATTATTGGATTCATGATTACTACCACACAAATCGTATGCATCCTCTGGAGTTGGAGTATTAAATTCTGTCATATGGTTATAGTAACCAGTATAAGAAAAACGTGGCTATCCATGATGCATCCAATTGTGATAATGCAGAACAAACCCTTCAGTGATCACATGAACTTTAACTATTTTTTTGATCTCGAAAACTTTTATTTCTGCTTTTAGGTCGATTACATGGACACCTAATATTTCCTCAATCCGTAAATTTAGGTTTACTTAATGCAAATGTGATGAATTCCAACGGTGGCCGCTCAAAATTAGGATTAATAATGTGACCATTTATCAACCTATAAATATTGTACATCCAAGATTGATCCATACTGAATACCAAGACATGTTTCTATTGTAATATTAAATTAAGATACTTAAATTAATAAATTTTTATTTAATAATTTTTATTTTTATTTTTTAAATTTCCTAAAAAATAAAAAATAATGACTTATGGTATTATTATTGTAAATTATATGTAAAAAATTTTAATTATTATTTTTATTAACATGCAAAAAAGAACATTGTTAAACTATGTTACATGCAAAAATATTTTCTCTACTTTTTGATATATTTTTCACCTTTTTAATTAAAAGGTTAATACTAATAAATTGATAGCATTATATTGTAAAAAATAAATTAAAACTTACCTTAGCTCACAAATTCAGTAGAAAATTTCAGAGTTCTGTAAAAAAAAAAAGACCAAAAATAAAATTTAGAATTTTCTTTTTCTTTTAAATGTAAAAAATAATAATAGCTATGTTATCAATATCATTAAAAAGAAGTTTATTAATTAATCAAAAGCAACTTGCATTAGCTATAAAAAAACAATTTACACTACATATATTATCATTAAGCATACGCAAAGCAATAACCTTTAGAGAGAAAAAATTTATTCTTTATAACAAGATGATTGAGTATGCTATATATAAGTCATGAAAGTAAATATCTAAATTACTTAGATAAACAACATTCTCAAAGCTAAAATTACAATATCAAATAAAAAATAAATGCATATAAATAAAAAAATAAAGGATAAATCAATATATTATAATTTCAAGTTGACAAAAAAATGAAAAATTAAATATTTAAGATAATATAAAATAAAAATAGAAAATACCGAATCAATTTACACCTTCAAAACTCATTCACCATAAAATATTAAAATTCTGCACAAAAAAATGAAGAAAAATAATCTAAGAATTATATAATAGAAATAAAAAAAATACTAACACAATTACCTTTAACTAAGATTCTGGTGTGGCTTTGTTGGTGTGGTCTCGTAGAGAAAATTTAGAAAAGGCTTTGTTGGTGTGGTGTCCTGCATGCAGAGAAGATTGGAAGAGTGATAGTGAGAAAGATGGGGAATACTATCTAAAGCAAACGGGTAGCTAACATTTAATGGGTATTAATTACACATAAATTTTTTAAAACAATCGAGAAGAAACGGGTAGCTAACATTTAATGTATATTTTTTTATTTCCGATGGATATTCCATCATAAATTAAATTGGTATATTTTAATTAAAGTTGAACAAAATTTCCGACGGAATCATTTTCCCATCATAAATTAAATTGATATTTGTATTTCCGACTAAATGATTATTCTATCACAAATTAAATTGGTATATTTTATTTAAAGTTGAACATAATTTCCGATGGAATCATTGTCCCATCATAAATTAAATTGATATTATTTTTATTGAAATGAATAGACTTTCTAACGGAAAAAATAATTCGGTCGAAAATTACAATATTGTCAGAATTTTGTGACGTAATCATTTATTTTCATCGGTAATTTCTAATAGATTTTAAATCCGTCGGAAATTTTCTATCGGTAATTTAAAATTTTCTTGTAGTGTGTCCTATGATTCAATTATTGAAAAAATGATGCCTCTAAGTGGACCCCAAACGCATTGATATCCTTTAAAACATTAAAGAAAGCTATGTGTAATTAGGGATGTAAAATTGGGAATCGTTCAGGTTTCAGTCGGATCCTGTCAGGTCGGGTAATATCGGATACAGGTCAAGTCAGGTAAATTTGATGCTTCGACTCGGATCAGGTCGGGTCTAGGTCAAATCAGGTCGGGTCATTTTCAGGTTGATTTGACACCAGGTACAGTTCGGGTTACTTTCAGCTCGGATCGATGCCAGTTTAGGACAAAACAACTCAGGTCCAGAGCAGGTTAATTCAGGTTCGGATGGACTTCAGGCGGATATCGTTCAGATCGGGTCATATCATTGGCAGATAAAATTTAGGTCGGATCTCTATCAGATACGAATTGAGTTCAAATCGGGTTAATTTTTATTTTTTGGATTAATTTTTTTGTCTTTCGCGAACGTTGAATTGCAATTTTTTAATTGTATATGATTTAGAGTAAATTACTAAGAATATAAATAATCATGGTTCAATTTTATGAAAAATACAACTTTAAGAACTAAATTGAACAAATATGAAATTACAAATTAAAATTTAAATAAATTAAACAACACACATTGATGAGGGATCAAATATAAATAATTTTAAATTGTGAGGTTGAAATTAATACAAAAAAGTACTAAATTATACCCATTTAAAAAGTTATGGGCCAATTAAAAAATATAAATAAGAAATAAGTATGGGCCAATTTCATATGCAAATATAATTTTAAGGACTAAATTGAACAAATATAAAATTAAAAATAAAAAATTAAATAAATTAAATAACACACATTGATGAGGATCAGATCGAAATAATTTTAAATTGTGAGGTTTAAATTAATGCAAAAAGTACTAAATTATACCAATTTAAAAAGTTATGGACCAATTAAAAATAAATAAATAATAAGTATGGGCCAATTTTAGATGCAAAAAAATTTAAGGACTAAATTGAACAAATATGAAATTACAAATTCAAATTTAAATAAATTAAACAACACACATTGATGAGGGATCAAATCTAAATGATTTTAAATTGTGAGGTAGAAATTAATACAAAAAAGTACTAAATTATATTCATATAAAAAGTTATGGGCCAATTAAAAAATAGAAGTAAGAAATAAGTATGGGCCAATTTCTGATGCAAATATAATTTTAAGGACTAAATTAAATAAATATGAAATTACAAATAAAAATTTAAATAAATTAAACAATGCAAATTGATGAGGGATCAAATCGAAATAATTTTAAATTGTGAGGTTGAAATTAATACACAAAAATACTAAATTATACCCATTTAAAAAGTTATGAGCCAATTAAAAAATATAAATAAGTAATAAGTATGGGTCAATTTGAGATGAAAATATAGTTTTAAAGACTAAATTGAATACATATAAAATTAAAAGACTTTAAAAATAAAAAAAGGATGAAATTGAAATAAATGCAAAATTTGAAGAAATGTTGAAAAATATATAAATTACCTTCGTTTAAAAATTTGGAAAAAATATAATATATAATATAAGTTTATATATATATATACTATATTTATATTATAAACTATATAATTATTATAAGCTATATACATAAATTATGTTTATATGAACTATATATATAAACTATGTATATAAACTATATATGTATAAACTATATAAATTATAATTTATATTAATAAAGTATATATAAGTATGTATAACTAATATAAGTAATCTATATATATATATATATATATAGTTTATAGAAATACCATGCATAAACTATATAAAGTAATAAAATATATAGTTTATAAAAACCCTAAACCCTAACTCTTAACCTTGAATCTACACATATAAACCCTAAACCCTAACCATAGTCCTTAACCCCTAAACTTTAAACCCTAAATCCCAAACCTTAAACCATAAATACTATGCATAAACAATAGTTAATATATGTAACCTATAGTATATGTATACATGTAAACTATATATTTAACTTATAGTACATGTATGTATAAACTATGTATAGTATATATAAACTATATATATATAACCTATAGTATATGTATATATAAACTATATATATATAACCTATAGTATATGTATATATACAATCTATTTATTTATTATATAAACTATATATGTAACCTATAGTTTATAAACAATAGTTTATATTAGTGTACTATATAGTTTATACTTTATAACCTATAGTATATAATTTATAAACTATAGTCTATATTAATGTACTATATAGTTTATATTAATGTTAATTATCTTAACTATAATTTATATTAATATAGTATATAGTTTATAAACTATACTATATTAATATTAATTATATTAACTATAATTTATAAACTATACTATATAATTTATAACATATAATTTATATTAATATTAATTTTATAGACTATATTTATAATATTAATTAAAATTATAAACTATATATTAATATAAGTTAATAATAATATTAATTATATTAATATTAATTATAATATATAATTATTTTAATATTAATTATATATATTTTATTAATATAAATTTTATAGGGATGAAATTAAAAACAGCCGCCAAAAGTAGCCATTTTATCCCGCCTCTTCCCGGCCAAATCCTCCCTCTTTTATTTTCGGTATTTCTTCTTCCCTGCTCAGCATCCAAATCCTCCCTCTTTTATCCCGCCTCTTCCCGACCATTTTATCAACTGCACTGTTAAGCTCCAACTTTGCTTTTAGCTTTAGTCGACTGAGCGACTCTCCTCCTGGAGTTCGGAATCGGCAAGAGAGAAGAAAGAGAAGAGGGACGTATTTAACAGCAAGGAAGTGGAATCAATCTCGTTTGCTACAGGATTCTTTCGATCTGGTAAAGCCCTTTTTACTTTATAGTCAAATCTCAGTCCTGGTCTATCAGCGTATTGTCCCATCTACTAGCTCAAACTAAGAGTAGTTTGGAATGAAACTATGGGTCGAGTGAGCTCTTGCTTCTCCTTCAAGCCGGCGAAACGCCAAGGCGGTGATCCTGAAAAAGTACAGTGTTTTTGTGTTTTTTATATAAATTTTATGGGTTTCTTTTGATTGATTATGGGTGAAGTGATTTTATTGTTGATTTCCCTATTTTATTTTATGGTTTTTTGCTTGATTGGTTAGTTTAAAGAGTTGGCTCAAGCTTATGAGATATTGAGCGATCCCGAGAAACGTGAGATTTATGATCAGTACGGTGAGGATGCACTCAAAGAAGGAATGGGCGGTGGTGCCGGCGCCCATGACCCGTTTGACATCTTCTCCTCCTTCTTTGGTGGTAGCCCGTTTGGTGGTAAGCATTTTAGTTGTATTCAAAACCATTGTTAATTTGTTTAATGATTTTCGATTCATTATCCCTTGTATTCAATATTTGGTATGTGATAATGTTATTTAAATAATGTAAGATTATTTGATTGCTTTATGGAACCTGATGAGAATCGTTGGTGAAACTATTAGAAATGGGATATGGTTGAATTGTGGTGTTATTGTTGATGATTAGGTGGTAGCAGTCGAGGAAGAAGACAGAGAAGGGGAGAGGATGTAGTCCATCCTCTTAAGGTGTATCTAAAGGACCTCTACCTTGGGACTTCAAAGAAACTCTCTTTCCCGTAATGTGATATGCTCGAAATGCAATGGGTGAGTCCGTGTTTGGTTATTTGTATCTTGTTTTGAATTTCTGGTTGTATTTGCTTACATTAATGTGTTAATTTTTTTGGTTGAATACAGGTGAATGGGCCTTTTAGGTGCCCGTTTTATCAGCTAGAATAATCTCTTCAGCTTCTTTAGGGCAATTACGCAGAAAGTTAGTATCCTCCTGCTGGTTCTTCGTTAGTTTGGCGATGAAATCAGCGATGCGGTTGGCCTCCCTTGGTATGTCCTCGATCTCCACTTCATAGTTTCTTTTTAGCAAAATCTCTATGTATTGAAGGATTGTTAACTGTCTGTGTTCAAAAGATCTATTTTTAATCAGGTTAACTGCTTCCTTGCTATCTGATTCCACTATTACTTTCCTTTCTCCTCTCATCCATGCTATTTTTAATCCTTCATGTATTCCCCACAGTTCTACTTCCAGTAATGTGCAGCTTTCGATTTTCCTGCCAAATCCCCATAGCCAGTTACCATTATAATCCCTAGCGACTGCTCCACACATCGCATCACCATTGTTTGGATTTCTGGTTCCATCAGTGTTAACTTCACAGTAGCCAATCTCTGGTTTTTTCCATTTATAATGGGTATTTCTTCTGGTTTGATTATTACCCGAGTTCCGGATTTCTGAGTCTCTTATCTCCTGTGTAAGTCTATTGGCTTGTTGTATGATTGATTCTCTTTCAATCATTTCAGAATCAAACACTAATTGGTTTCTTCTCTTCCAGATATACCAGATTATGGAACTGAAGAAGGTATGCCAATTTTCCCTTCTTGACGTAGGAGATTGGGCCATTTCAAGGTTTTCGATGATCCACTCCTCCATAGTCTTACTTAGGAAATGATCCATAATCCTGTTATCAATTAATTCTGCCCAAATAGTTAAGGCTTTAGGGAAAAATCTCAGAGTGTGGTTGATGTCTTCAGTCTCATTCCCACACATAGGGCAGCTCTCATCCATCGTCATGTGTCTGCGTTTCCTTTCCGAATTAGTCAGAATTTTATTTCTCCCAATAAGCCATAAGAATGTTTTAACCCTGGGAATATTCTTGTGTTTAGCAATACTGCTCCATAGCTTTTCTTCTATAATACTGCTAATATTCACAATCCATTTGTATGCAGAACTCACTGAGAATGTGTTAATTGTTTGTTTATATCTTGTTTTGAATTTCTGGTTGTATTTGCTTACATGGAATGTGTTAATAGGATCATAGGGTATATTTTCTATTCTTTCCCCCCTATCATTGTAATTTATCATTAGATCTTTAAAATAGTAGTTGTTCAATTAATAAACTTTGTTACTACTGTTGTTATTGTTTGATTGTTGGTGCTAAAAAATGATTTAGATATGTAGCTCATTGATTGAAACTGATCGGTATTTTGACCACTAAAGTAATTGGAAGGTTTGAGTGACTGAAAGGTTGAAGTTAAGGTGAAATTCATAGACATATCTAGTTGATCGATACTGGTTAAACTTTTTCTTACCTTTAGTTTGAGATGTTATTGTAAAGATGAAAAATTTGTAAAGTTGTGTATACCCTCTTTTGGATTTATTGGTCTAGAACTCCATGTTGTCATAAGAACGCAAAGTGTTTTATTTCCTGCTGCATAAATGGCAGAGTAAGTGTTTCTGATTTACTTTGATTAATGTTTTATTTATAGAGATGAATTGGGTCGATTTGTTTTATTTCCTTTGGTGCATGCGAGTGAATTTGTGGTGTTTATATGTGCCTTCTATTGTAGGTTTTTGGACTGATCAATGCAATCCGGCCAGCATGCAGTAATGCAGCATCTGTGGATTCTATGATGAGCAATAAAACCGATTCAATTATGTGTTTTACGGCAAGGCATGCTCATTCAAGCCTCTCATTCTCTGGCCTTGCTGGAGAGAGCAGTGCTGGAGATTATCAAGATTGTGGGGCTTCAGTGCTTCTGATGGGAGAGCCTACTTGGTCTCCGCCATGTACTGAGAACACCTTCCTATCATCAACTAGAAGCAATACTGTCATGCGTTGCAAGGAAAAGAAGAAGACACGGAAGTAAGTAGACACTCCTAAACCATGTAGAATGTACATTTGAGATTTTAGTGCTTGCTTTATAAAATTCTGGAATTTATATGTTCTTCCTTATAATTGCTCTCCTGCTTTTGAATGTCTAGTTTGGGATTGATCTACCACGTTTACTAATTAGACAAACATGCCTCGAGTTCTTCCTCCCTTGCACTTTATAGTTTTCCTTCTTATGGACTTTATCTATTTTCCTTTTATGTTTCAGTTATTCCACATGCTGGAGGAATTTATATGTTAAAACTTCACCCTTGATAGGTTTGAGAAGCAAGTGAGATATGCGTCTCGCAAAGCAAGGGCTGATGTGAGGAAGCGAGTGAAGGGACGCTTTATCAAAGCCGGTGATGCCTATGATTATGAACCATTGAATCAAACCAGAAGCTGCTGAGAGTACAATCTTTTAGAAGAAAAAGGAAAGAAACACAAATAATAAATATTTTATAATATTAATATTTTTTTTGGACTAACCTAACCAAGTGGGAATAAAACAAATTTCGAATTGTGATTTGACTCATCAACATTTATGCTATTATAGTCATATATATACACACACACTAGAATTTAATCAAACTCATTCAATAAATGAAAATTTATATATTTTTAAAGTTAAAAAATATTTTCGATAAATAGTTATTTATTAATATGGATAAGAAAATGAAAAATCATTAATTTATGTTCAATTTGTTTAGATGAAAGAAAATATGATAAATAATTTTTTTGGTGATAGTAGGCGGTCGTTTCTTTTAGGGGGATTGTTTCAGGAAAGGTGGGCTAATATACGGCGTTATCGGATATATTATAATATATTTAATAAATTCGGTTTAGTGCTATCGGAAATATTGAGTAATAATAATGTAGTAGGTTTAAATCATGAAGAAATATTAAAAAATTTGATAATCGGCAAACTTAGCTTGTCGATTTGTGTCGATACAAATGAAAAATGTATCGTTACATAACAATATTATAGGTAAAAATATGACAAAATCGGTCTCGAAATGACAAAACTGGTAAAACGATATCGGATATGTTGAAAGTGTCGATAATTTAATATAAATATTGACACTTTTGGAATTTAAAAGATAAGAAGTTATAGCGCCTATAAAGTGTCGATACTTAAAAAAAATGTATCGATCCATAACAATATAATATGTAAAAATATGACAAAACATATCTCAAAAATGACAAAACCGGTAAAAAAACCGGATATGTTGAAAGTGTCGATAATTTAATATAAGTATCGAAATTTTTTGGAATTTAAAAGAGAAGAAGTTATAGCGCCTATAAAGTGTCGATACTTTAAAAAAATGTATCAATCCATAACAATATAATAGGTAAAAATATGACAAAACCAGTCCCAAAATGACAAATCCGGTAAAATGCTACCGGATATGTTGAAAGTGTCGATAATTTAATATAAGTATCGACACTTTCTGAATTTAAAAGAGAAGAAGTTATAGCGCCTAAAAAGTGTCGATACTTTATGAAAATGTATCGATCCATAACAATATAACAGCTAAAAATATGACAAAACCGGTAAAGAGCTACTGAATATGTTGAATGTGTCGATACTTTAATAAGTACGCGTAATAAATTATCGATACTTTTAAAGAAATAGGTAAATATCCTATCGAAAGTATCGATACTTGACAGTAAAGTATCAACACTTAGGTGGTTGTATCGATTAAATATAAATAACATATCCGGTGTAAATATAAAGGCATAGCTAAATTTCCTCTGAAAATAGATAGAGTTTTTGAAATCGAAGCGTAATTGTTGCTACATTTCAGAAGGCGTTTCTACGGTGAAGTTTTGTTTGTTTGTTGTTGCAGTCGAATCGAAAGGTACATTGTTGAAACCCTAGTTTTTTATTATTACAGTAATCGAAATAAGTTTTTATGTGTTGTTGTTTGGGGTTTTCGAAGTAAAGAAGCATTTGTAGCCGAATACATGTAGAAAGTGATATTCTTGCTAGATGATAAATATCGATACTTTTATTTAATATTTTAGGTAAAAAATGATATTATAGGTAAAAAATGATATTACATGTAGAAAGTGATATTCTAGGTAGAAAATAAATATGGATACTTGTATATAATATAATATTATAGGTAGAAAATGATATTTTAGGTTGTATAAATGTGCCGACACTTGTTGTAGTGGCCATTCAAATTCTTTTGAAGACCAACCGTTTTACCACAAGAGTGGTTATTAATTTTGTATATTGAATAGAAAGTGTATGTAAGCAGTATTTGATTTGATTTACGCAAACTGATATATGAAGGAAAAATGAAGTCAATGGGTGGAAAGAAACCAAAGGGTGGATATATGTACTTCTAGTAAGTATCAATGTCTTTTTGTTATTATTGTTGAAATGGTAATTGGATTAAAGTATTTAAGAACTTTAAACTGATTACAAATTTTAAATGTTGACAGTATGGCCGAATGCAAAAGGATGAATGAAGATGGCACATACAACGGTTCGGTATGTAAAATGAAATTGACATTGAGTATTATTTAGCGTTAATGTATTGATTAAGAAACGTTTATTCTTAATATTAGGTGACAAAAGATGTGAGGTCGAAATGAAATTCGATGAGTAATGCTGAAAAGGAACCTTACATCACACAGTCAAGGAATGATAGTAAAGAATACAAAGAACGGAGGAAAGCACGTGAAAAGAAGGTATTCATTAAATTTGTAAATACGTTGATACAAGATATATAATAACAATAACATTATATATTGTTAAAAAATGTAGGATGTGTCGATAAGGTGCAGCATAAAAAGGGCAAATTCATTAATTGAACACCTTAAAGAGAAGGATCAGTTGAATGTGCTGAGAGAAATGGGGTTTGGATTGTTGATAGGATTAGGGGATCGACCAATTCGGAGGGAATTGTGTCGATCCTTGATGGAGCAATTTGATGTCAAACAATGTATTGCTAAATATGGTGATTATTCATTCCCTCTGGGGGTATCGACTGCTACAGCCGTCTTGGGGGTACAAAATAAAGGCAAAAGTATTGTAGAAGTCTGTAGGAGTAAGAACTGGAAAGCACTTGCCTCCAAATATGGTTTGAATCAGAAGGTGACATATGCTGAAGTTGAAGAGGATATCAAAACTAAATCTTAGGGGGGGGGATGACCTGAAGGCCCGAGTTCTATTGTACCTTGTCGGGATATTTCTTTGTCCAACGGGTGATACGTCAACGGACAAGGACAATATGAAGCTCATTTGTGATGAAGGCTTGAAGGGTGAGTTCAATTGGGCTGAATATGTCCATTCGAGATTGATTGAATCAATAATCACCATTTAAAAGGGCAACCATAGATACCTCAAAGGGTGCATAGCAATCTTAGAGGTAACTGAGTTGAAGAATGTTTTTGTTTTTTTATATAAAATGATAGTATAGTTATTATATAAAATGATAACTTTTATTATAAATGCAGGTTGCACTGTTCGATTTTTGGTCGGGTTGTGATAGTTTGTCGGCTTATGAAAGAAACCGAGTGGCACGCATCCGTGCATAAGGCAAGGAAGAGGTGGTTAGAGTGATGGCAAAGTTGAAGTTGGATAGACCGAGGAAGCTAGAAATGGTAATAAATGTAATTAAATAATATTAAGAATATAATCAATGTCTTAATACAAATTTAATTTTGAAGGTTATTGTCAAAGAGGTAGAAGAGGCAGAGGACGCAGAGGAGGCAGTGGAGAAGGAAAAAGAGATGGTTGGAGGGGTGTATGACGATCAGGGGGATTACGGTGAGGAAAAATAGAGTAAATTCAACATTTTATATATGAATTGGTTGATATTAAAAAAATCCTTTTTGATAATCATCAAAGACAACCAAGAGTCGAAGAGATACTTGAGAGGCATAAGGGGGAAGTGGAAGGAAAGATTGATGTAGTGGTGAATGAAGTTGAGGTGTTGAGGGAACTTAATTTGTTGACGGGTGGAAAAATTGATGTAGTTGTCAAGGAGGTTGTGGAATTAAGGAGTGAACTTACGGGGGTGAAGGAGGTGGTTGAGAAAAACTTGGATGAAGGGGGAAAATGAAGGGTGAAATAAAAGAGATGAAGAGCTATGTAGAGCAAAAATATGATGAACTGAAAAAATTTGAAGAAGAGAAGATGGAAGAAGTACAAAAGATGGAGGAAATGGAGAAAAGGATGTCACTAACATCTATGCACCAGAAAGTGTTATAGATGCAGATTTGGATTCGGAATGTCCTGCACCCCAGAAGAAGAAGCAGAAGGTAATTTGAATAAAAGAAAACTTAATTTGATTTTTATCATGTTGTTGTGAAAAAAATTTGTATGAAAAACTGTAGGTTGAAAAAGCGGTTATTCCAAGCGGAATTGAACCGGTCGAAGCTGTAATTTGTGATTATTTATGAAATAGTGGGTTAGAATCGGGGTAAGTTAAATATATTTCTTTGTGAGTGATATTTAAATATTTCATGGCAATATATTAATCCTAATGATTCATACAGATATTCTGTAATCTCAATGGGAAATCAATACGCTAGTGTATCTGACGTTGCAACGTTGAAGCCTAGTGAATGGGTTGGTGGTGTGGTAAGTAGAAATTGATTAAAAGTTAAAACCTATTGAATATATTCTGATTCTGTAATTAATTTTGTTAGGTTATTGATTTGCTCGCCTGGATAGTATGCTACGATTCTAAAAAGTCAGGCCGGATGATTGGCTACATTCGTACCACTTAGCGGTGAGTTAAATTAATAAATGTTGAAAAGTAAAGTTATAGACGGTAAATTAATAATGATTGTCACGTAATTGCAGCAACAGGCGTTGGACAACATCTATAATGTTGAGGGTATTAACATAACTATGTGAAATTCACCAACTGTGAGAAGGTAAGACACCATACAAATAGGCATAAATGATGTTTTTGGATATAGAATGTTGAATTTTGTCAAATTGGGTGTGAAATTTGTTGCAGATCATGATCACAATAAACCATAATAATTCACATTGGTATCTGTTGGTGTTGGATATGGTAGACCGTGTTACAACTGTATATGATAGTATGTTTACATCTGAAGCAGCTAAACAGAGAGTGAATGATGTTAAGAGATTGGCATGTATGAAAAGAAATTATATAAATTATAATGCATAATTTGTTTGGATCATAACTTCATATTTTTTAATGCAGATGAAAATATTATATAGTTATAATAAGAAACGCATTTGGGTAGAAGCATGTGGATCTCTAGGAAATTTCCCCTTGCAAAGATTCAAATTCACGGAGCATAAGATGAACGAGCAATCGAATGTATATGATTGCGGTATTTATGTGATGATGTGGATGGAATCGATCGATTCTAGAGGGGCTACTGGTGATTTTGTAAGTAGAGTTAAAAATTAGTTTACAG